TGGTGGTGGACGTAGCGATCACATCAGTGCCAAGATCGCTATGATTGTTGGTGCTACATTGCTCTCTGGCGCTGCAGCAGCTGAAGACGTTGAGAAGGATGACGAGTTGTTGTGGTTTTGGGCCATTGGTTTAATCCTGATGAGTGTGGATGCAGTCTATGTTGGTAGCGTGGTTGCTCGAAGCGGCACCTGGCTTTACAATAGACTGGTTGGGTCATCGGGCGGCCAATTTGGTGAACAAGACCATGAAGGCGAAGATCCTCCACGACTGAGGATGTTGCAGCGTAGCAGTGATGAAGAAGAAGAGCGGCACGAAAGGGCTGATCGACCATCTGGTAGCTATGCGACGTTGGCCGACATGAATGATCTGCGCAAGATGGTTGAGCAAAGTCGCGCTATCCAGTGTGACCCTCACAACAAGATGCATGGGAGAGGAGTGCAAGATTGGCAGGATGACGAGGATGATGTGCCCCGTAGACCTGTCAGACTTCACACGAGCGATCAGTTGCCAAGGAGGAGAAAGAAGAAAGGGCATAGCAAGAAAAGTGAACAGCGTGATGAGATGGATGAGGCGGAGATTCACGAAGCATGGCAGTCTCTTTTTGAAACTACGAGGAATCTGCATGGAGCGGCTTCTTCAACGTCGAGAAGGCCACAGTCGGGCTTGGGCAGTGGTGAAAAGGGCGCGTCAAAAGGAATGTCCTCACGCTCGGGCTTAGATGCTGCTGTGCATGGGGATCTCGCGCCATTGAACATGACATCACGATCGGGCACCAGCACTATGATGCGTGCAGATGCTGGGGCTACATCACAGCCTTTGACGTCTCAATCGGGCAGTAGCGCGGCAGCTGGGGCCGGATCAACATCAAAGAATATGACATCACGATCGGGCTATAGCACTGCTGCTGGCGCTGCTGGGCCTATCTCTCAGCGTATGCCATCACGTTCGGGCAGCATTGGTGATCATGCGGCCGCTGCTGAGAGTGCATCCGATGTTTCACATGGAAATTCATGGAATGATTTCCAACATGAATTTAGAGGCAGAGGCTGGGGCACTGAGAAGATGCGCGCTGAATATTGGCGTTTCCAGGCCTCCGGCAAGAAGCCCAAATAGGGCACCATTCAAATGCCTTGAGCCTACAACTTTTGGATGTTTCTTCCCTGAAGAAAGGGGGAGTACAAGAAGCCAAGTGCAGGCTATGATCAAGTGTAGTATCTGTGCATATGCGGCAGACATCTTGTGACATTTGTAGGCATTTTGAGTTCAAGAGTAAAAGGGTGCCCTTGCAACTTGCGAGCCCGTATTCAAATCACAACATATCAACCATTGAGCCTTGATATGCCATGAAATATGAAGCGTCAGAAAGCCTCAATGAGTAACGAACCAAACTAACATATATAATTAATCAAAATTATATGCTTAAGTTCGGTAAATCACCATAAATCATCTATCAATAAGCCATGTTCCAAAGATATGTTAAATAACCACATGATATCTCCACTGCAACCTCGAATAGCAAACCCTCGTTGCGCATCCTGGGAAACCGACCCTTCTCTCGGGGAAGTGGCGACACCACACGGCCACGATCCTGGTCCAAGATATTGTTGATCATATATTTACTTAGTATTTCAAGGTTTCCCACTTTTTCTATCTTATTTTGGGTTTGCTTTATAATATATGGATATATATGGTTATTTCCAGAACATGCATTAATGTGGCATACCGCACTATACAACTCCAATTTAGGTGATGTTTATTTTTTGACACAACCCGGGGATTGCTATTATTGGGTCTGCCACTGACACATTCATAGCAATATCATGGCTCGCGAATTGATAAGCACATGGTTACCAGTTGCTGGGCCATGCTATTGATATAGGGTAATGCCATATTCTGGAAGAACTACCCTCTGGTTATTTAACATAGCCATGGAAAATCACAATTTTTCATAGGTAAACCTCTATAAATAGGCTATTTCCCATGGCTATGTTAAATAGCCGGAGGGTATCCATGTCCCCAACAACTGGAGAAGAGAACTTGCAAATAAAATAGCCAGTAGCCTATATGCAACTTGCTTAATTGAGTCGCAAGCAAGAGAAAACAAACGTAGGTCAATTTGAACCCACTCTGACGGTCGGTCAAGAGAATGTACGCATAGCAATTGAAAATGATAGGGTGCACATGGTGCCACCCTCATCTACCCTCCAAAACGGACATGGACAACACATCCTGTTCGGTGCAAACTTTGCTGGTGAGAACGCCCATGCATCGCGAAGAACAGCGCTGTAGACAGCACCCACAAGTGAGTTCACGCTAGCAATCAACTCCTATAGTTACTTGTGGTTATGTCCTTCTAGTCGAATTATGTCGCATTTGTACTGGGTACAGTAGGGACAATCATTGAGAGGTATTTGCAAGGCAGCATACTCATTGCCGGGAGGGCAATATCCAAGACAAGGAGCCTGACCACGAAAGGCCTCGAAATTGGCGCACAGCTGGTGAGTCAGTAATGCAAGGATCACTAAACTTGGGATCATTTTGTTTCTACAGGATGGCGCGAGCAAAACATATATGCAAACCTTTAGAACAAACAACAAGTTTGATGATGGTCATTTGTGACCGTGTTTGGCTTCGTTTTGCAGGCTGGCCGTCTTTTCTGCAGTGCTGAGGTCTCCGCCCGTTGATGTTGACATAGGCATATTTTGCAGTTATGATATGTTACCCTCTGGTAAACTAACGTAACTATGAAAAATCACACTTTTTAATGGGAAAATCCACTATTTCTATGGCCATTTTCAATAGCTATGTTTGTTTACCAGAGGGTAAACCTCCATTTTCCTATATATGGTTTTTCTATGATTTTCCCATGTTCCTATGGTTTTCCCCAACTGAACAAGTTCGCCACGTGAAATTACCCGAGGGCGTCCCCGGCATCCCTGAGGATGCCGCCGATGGCCGTGCATCTCCACCTGGGCCCAATGTCACCCTGCGGCCTGTTGGGGTGGAAAGAAAACAACTGACCCCCAAAGACAACATTGATATAATATATATATATAATATAATAGAATAGAATAGAATAGAATATAATACAATACAATATGATATAATATAATATAATATAATATAATATATATATAATATATAATAATATTATATTGATATCACATGATATCACTATTATATCACTATGATATCACTATTAACATCGGCAAAGGACATGGACAAAGTGGCTGGTTTCATTATCTTCCCATGGTTGATCATCAGTTTCTCCGGCGGAACTGGGCTAACTAACTTCCGCAAAAAAAATTGTCGCATAATGTCCTTATGGTTCATTCATTCTGTCAATGGATTGGTTTAAACATGTTTAAACTGTTCACCGGAAAACCCAATGATCTTCATGGGAAAATCGATGGCTTCCGGTGAAGATTTTCCCGTCAACCAATCCATTGAAGACTCGCAAACATACAAAACACCATGGAAAATCACCATTTTGTAGCTGGGTAAATCAACTATTTCAATGACCATTCTATATATTCTATGGCCATTCATATTATCGCCTGGTTATACTTCATTTACATTCATTTACTGGTTGGTGGTTTCACCCCCTCTGAAAAATATGACCTCGTCAGTTGGGATGATGAAATTCCCAATAGATGGAAAATTATGGAAAATACAATTCATGTTCCAAACCACCAACCAGATATTATCGCCTGGTTATACTTCATTTACCCTCTGGTAAACTAACATAGCTACATAACTATGGAAAATCACCATTTATAGTAAGTTTTCCCATAAAAAAATGTGATTTTCCATAGTTATGTTAAATTACCAGAGGGTACTTCATTTATTAAGGCTTCATTGATTCTGGGCACCTTCGTTGGACCGTTGGACCCCGAAACCTGCACCTCCCATTTTTGTGTCTCCAAGCGCTCCAAGCCACGCGCGCGCCGATCGCGACGTCTTGAGGGCTTGGAAGGCAGATCCACCAGCTTCCCCACCAGGGCGTCCATCTGGGGGCTGATGACATCATGGAAAACCATCGGAAAACCATTGGAAAACCATTGAAATTTACCCTCTGGTAAACTAACAGAGCCATCTTTGGGTAAATCAAGCATGTGAGATTACCAGAGGTTTTATTCGACATGTTTTTATTCACCACAAGACATTGGTGTTTCCTGTATTCCTGCAGATATTTCCCTGAAACAATTCTCGAACCATAGATTTTTGATGAATATTGGCCTTTTTGATAACAGAAGAATGGCTGGGATCGTCTAGTATTGATATGTATTGATGTGACACGGGGGCTTCATTGCCGGATTGAATTTACGAGTACAATGATAGTTTGATAAAGAAAAATGCTACGGTAATAATATCACTAGCCTCTGAAAATTCCATGCTGAAGGAATTTTCACTAAAGGAGCCCATCCGCCTTGACTTCTGCGGAGTCGGGTGTCAAGTTCTCAGGATTGAGCTCCTCATGGGTGGGACCCTTTGAGAAATCATAGATGAACCTCAAGGAGGATTTCTACCCTAAATCAAGATAGAAATCCATGGTCCCAAAGACATGCCTCCAAACTGTTTTTACATTTTCAAAGCCATCTTCGTGTCGTTTTCCATGAGTTCAGGGGTGAGCTTACAGCGCTGCGGGAAAATCCCCACATTGGTTGAGGATTTACTGTCAAAAGCAAGAAGAACTTTGTTAAAATTGGCAGGTGAAAGGCGCTGTCCTTGGGTCACAACCCTGCAATTCGTAAATCGAATTTTCAGATTAGCCCAGTGATAATCGTTCCCCTGGGTAGATTGTCCTCCGGCAAGTCGCTGTACAGGAAGTGTGTCTTGTGGTACTTCCTTTCCTGTCGCAGCCACTATCTGCTTTCTGGTGAGCTAGCTGCACTTGCTTTCCAAGTGTTGGATCGTGAATTCAAAAGCGTGTGCCATGTCTTTTCTATCCAAAAATCTTTCCCACTGTGGCACCCCCCCACCCCAAACGCACTCTTTTCTCTCGGAACTGGCACAGTACAAGTTTTTCTGATATGCAGCTCTTGCACGAAAAGCTTTGGGAGCTTTACTTTTGAGAACTCTCACTCTCTCCTTCCAAACCATTTTTGGTTTAGGCCCTCAGCGGCTCGACTTTCTGGTCTGGCAGGGCATTTTTGGAACCAGCAGGAACCGAAGCCGCCGTGCGCCATAGAGCCACTGAGGTTGCCCAGCCCCTTAGGGGTTGTTGTCATCTTCCCCGGCCAGCAGGGAATCAATGGCGGCATCTACTCGACCTTCGTGCCGCGCCAGCGCTCTCAAGCAGGCGGCCTGTGCGAGGCCCGGTTGGGGCATCCGAGAGGATGACGTGACCAAAAATATCCAAACATCATTGCTGAAAATATGATTGCTGGTTGCATCTGGTTGCTCAAAGGAATAAACAAGGCGCTAAGAACCCACTTTGCGCCTGACATTAGAATGAACATGGATTCATAGATAGGAATCCCACATCGCATGTAGGTCTAGTTCTTGCTTAGGTTTCCTGATGCTTGGAGGGAAATTATGCGTCAATTCGAGTTGTCATGTCAAAATAAAAATCCAAGAGCACCACCAGCCAGCTGGAGCGATATACGAGTATGATTTAAAGTCAAGTACTCCAAACCACAAGAAAGGTTGCTACCGATATGTATACCAACGTCGTACGAACATCTTGAGAATTTCAATTCAAACGGTTGATCAGCCAATCCCTAACCCAACAGTAACCCCCCCCGAAAAACCCTGGCTTGATAGTGACATTTCGGGGTGGTTATGAGGGATTCGCTTAATCCACGGATGATCTTTGGTTAAACCACAAAACCGAACTGTGCGGTCCAATTACCCAGGTTGGTGAAACACCGCATGTAGTACAACCACATTCATATAATGTATTTTTGCAGGCCATATCCGTGTGAAATGGTTGGTTTATAATTTATAAAGTATTTATAACCCATTGTCTCCGCATTCTACCACAATCAAACCCCAATTTCAACCCCCATTATATCCCAACATATATACCCTCATGAAATAAGTCACCATTGAACCGCCATTCAATCCCCATTACATCCCATTCTATTCCCACTATAACCCCTGGCAAAGTCTGGAAAATGGGCCATTTAGTTCAATGATTTACCTATCTCTGTCTCTCCATATCTCTCCATCGCCGACCTATCATGGTGATTTTCCATAGCTATGTCAAATTACCAGAGGGTAATCCCATTGTATCCTCATGAAACCCCCCTTAAATCCCAACATCCGGTGGAGCCCCCTGATAGCTACGTTGGTAAACATAGCATGATAGGTGAATTCCATGGCCAGCGCGGTAGAAATAACCACAGTTTGACAGTTGGTAATGGAGGTTCCAAACTTCCAAACCAACAAACGTCACTGGATAACCCCACAGTCTATCAAATTCTCCCATGAAATCTGCATGGAAATATTGCACATCCTCATCATCCTCACCAAAAAAAAACATGTCTAACCCATAAAAATCCATCAACAAATCGAAAACAAAAAAATCCTCCAGATCCAAAAATCCCCATGAAATCACCCTATCCTCGCAGTCATCAGCTCATCCCGAGCCCGTGCGCCTCGTTGTTGAACCCCATGGAGGAGAGCTGCGCTAGTTGCGAGGCGAAGCGCACGCGATTCAACGGGTTCGCTGCGGCGTTGCCGGCGGCCTTGCTGTTGGCATCATCCAATACGTATTCTTATATACTTCATATATATATATATCTATATTATTATTATTATTAATATTATTATTACTACTATTATTATTATTATTATCATGATTATTTATTTATATAAAATATATGTATTAAATAATATCGTGTTATATTATATTATATGAAATTATATGCATATACAGTAGACAGTTGTGATTATAAATATATAATCTATCACAGTTGTGATTTTAATTATTATCACATATCCACTTATATCATCTTATATCTAGTAATTTAACATGGGCAAGGAAAAATCCCCTAGTTTCAAAAATATGGCTATCACTGGCTGTCAGATAATGTACAGCAATTCTCTTTGGTCCCAGGTAAAGTGGCTAGATATAAAGCTAAAATGGCCCATTTCCACCCCTGGCAGCAATCATTTACCATATTTACCTGCAACAGTGGAGAAAGCCTGTTCAAAAGACTCACGACTTATTGATCTTGTTGAGTCTTGTACATGGGATATCCCCAATCCATCCCAATCCCCAATTGTGCTACTGCTATCGAAAAGGTTGCCTGCAATCCACATCGGTGCTTCATGGGCCCAAATGGGGCATTGAATCATACTGAATTCAAATGGGCATAGTCAACTATGACGGATGATTGTGTCATAACTTCAAAAGTTCTGAGTTCAAACACCGCTCTATGCACGTGTCCGCAGCATTGAACTAATTAATTACACAGCATCAAGCGTTCCATACAAAGACCTCGAGATTTCGGGAACTTCATGGAATTCCATTGTCACAAGCCAAGCATCTGGTCCCATTGGTTGTAGTGTCTGAGGAGATGTGGTGGTTCCACCGGCTCCTCCTATGCCACCAGGCTGGCCCATAGCACCCATTGCATTCATGGCGTTCATCATGGCTGCCATGTTAAATCCTCCAGGAGCACCAAATCCACCCATGCCACCCATGCCACCAAAGCCACCCATGCCACCTGCTGGCGGCATGCCTGCTGCTGGCGGCATGCCTGTCATACCTGGCCCTGTCATGCTTGGCCCTGTGGTGCTTGGCCCTGTGGTGCTTGGCCCTGTCATGCTTGGCCCTGTGGTACTGGGCCCTGTGGTGCCTGGCCCTGTCATTCCCGGTGCGCTTGGGGCAGTTATGTGCGTATTCACATAGGTCCCCCAGGGGGTCATGAAAGGTCCTCCGGTGTAGGCACGGTTCATCTGTTGGACAGGTGGCCCACCTAGTGGCCCACTGCCCCAATTGGGCATAGGGAACCCGGACATGGTCGGCATGGGAGTGGGTTCTGGAGGAGGACCACCCACCTGGGTTGGGCCTGCCCCACCTCCCTGAGTCACTTGTTGCGGAGGACCCCAAGGATTGGGCAATGCCTCGCTATTCGGAGCGGAGGAGGTGTCCTGGGAGTAGTCTACCGCGGCTGTTGTGCTGGGATTGGTGCCACCACCTCCGGACATGGCTTCGAAAAGCGGATCTGCAAACTCCTCATGAGCACGCACAAGAGCATTGTGCCCACCTGAGATCATTTTGATATTACCCTCTGGTAAACTAACATAGCTATGGAAAATCACAATTTTTAATGGGAAAATCCACTATAAATGGCAATTTTCAATAGCTATGTTAAATTACCAGAGGGTAAATCAGCATTGATGGGAGCACTGGCCAAGACGGGTCATCATTGAAACTTGAAGCGGAATATAGTACGAACACAAAACGTTGCATTCTTTCCAAAGGAACCCCATCATGCATGCATCTATTTTCTTGGGGTCCATGTTCCTTCTCAGAAAACGATGGAAAACATATCCGCAACGCCATCTTGAAACACAACATGGGGATTTCCCAAAATAGAGGTACCCCCAGTTCTCATCCGTTTGCGATTGGGATTTTCCATGGAATTTCTGGTTGCATCCAGCGATAAAGGATGCCAACCCCCATGACGGAAACCATCTTATTATTCTATTACCCTCTGGTAAATTAACATAGACTAGACCCTGGCAGATAGGGGTTGGAAGACTAGTTTCCATTAAAACATGGTGATTTTCAGGGTCCAACTGTTTATTTGCCAGAGGGTACCCCATTTCATCATCCATTTATAGCTAGGATTGTCCACAAAAAAAACCATCCAGCGTTTTTTATGGTTTTTCCCCATGATTTCACAGCACGTCACCATCAATATTAATCAATACCCATAGGATCCATGTATGGTATATATGCTAACATTGGGGGTATATTGATGGTAAATGTTACATAATGTTAGCATATATCATATATACCATACATGGATCCGCCATGGGATATGCATCAATCCCATTCAATCCCCGCCTGGCATCGCATCTAACTGACCTAGTGCCCTGTCTGCATTTCGGGTCATCTCCCTCATCAGAGATGGATTCGCCACCATGCCTGGCGGAATCACCCTGGATGGGTTGCTGGGGGTTGCTGGGATGATGACATTACTAATTAGTGATGAACTGGATCAAAAACCCGAAAATTCCCGGCGTAAAACGCACCAGTAAGAGAAAAATCAAAAAAAAAGGTGTTGAATTCCCCAAAATTGGGATGTAAATAAATATTTAGAATCCCAAAAACATGGTATTGAAATCCCAAACATGTGAGATGTGACATGTACAAACCTCCTGCCAAGAGATTTTTAAGACCTCAAAAATGCCGGTTCTTTGGGATCATCATCCCATTTGTTGTGACATGTTGTGACACGAGTGGCGACTCACAGGTCCAAAACGGCTTGGAATGCACACCCAAAGGAGTCATTCCAAAGAAAATAGAATCCAACTCATCATGATAGTGGTGATGCTGATGAACATTGATGAACGGTTACCATGGCGATGGTGCTGATACTATGAGGACAATGTTAAGAGGGGTCATCGTAAAAATGGGGATAAACTCATTGTGGAAAATGGTAGAACAATCGCCAATTCGACATTAAGGTATTTGTAGCGTCATTCACGTCTCATCCTCATTTTGGTCGCGTCATCTCCCAATACGGATCTGCTTTCAACTTCTCCCGTAGATCAATTGATGGTTTGACAACTTGCCCCCCACATCCCCCCACTATAACCACCACCGAATCCACCGAAAATACCAAAATATACCAAACACTTGTTATCGACATACCTTAAACATCCTTAAACTGATGTTTAATCCTCATCCCAGCTCCCACGAAAAAAACCACCCTTGGTTCCGCGTGACGCAAGGACTGCTGTAGCAGCTCCGGGTCTTCCAGCATCCGGGCGATCTCCGGACGCTGTTCCATGAGTTCATTTAGCTGAGGATTCATCCGCACCATGGCGCGCAACATCTCGGGGTTGCTCATCCTGGGCGCCAATGGATTTGGGGAACCCATCGGTAGCGAAGATCAAATGGAAAAGCCATGGGTAAAACATGGAAAACAGATCTGTATATGAGGATATCATGGGTATGATAATATGGGAACAACTAACATGAACTAGCATGAACTAACCAATAATCAAACATGGCTGGCTGGGAAACAGGAACATCATGGAACATCATGAATGGATAATTTTCCAGCACGCCATGTTTGATTACCGGAGGTTTTGGAATGTTATATGGGTGGAAGAAAAAAAACATCATTAGATAATAACATATAAAATCACTTTTGGTATGTTATAAAGGGTGATTTGATTTTAAAAATAGTTCACTGATAGTTCATCACCTCATCCTTCTTAGTGATAAAAAAAAAGCTGAAGAATCCTGGCTTTGGCCTGGAGCTTCGGAAGGATCAGGCTTCAACATGCCAAAAATGGAAACACTTTTCGAATGCCAAAAATGGCAGATCAAGGCATGAAGAAAAGGTGATGCAAAGTGACAGATCCTGACAGATCCTGACACATGGGGATGGGTCAATACCTACAAATACATTTTTTGGGGGGATGAACATCCATAAATCTCAGCTATTTTAGGGTTCACTAGGGGTACAAGGGTTTTGAATGGTTTTGACTCATACCCACATGTCCCCAAAAGAATGGTGGAAGGGTCTCCTCTTTGAAAACACCAAGGGTGGACTCCATCAGAGTTTGCTGGGAAATGCCCAACGGATCGCCTGATGAAAACTCGTAAAAAGCCCAGATGTAGGTCCCACAAGGCCTTCCTTCTCTAGTGGAACCATTGTCAATCCTTCTGAGTCAACTCCTGGTTGGTGGTTTCCACTCTTTCCACTCCCCAAGAAAAATCGTGATCTGGGGTGTTGGATTATCCAATTTATAAACTTTATTCTCTCACTGTTGATCATACTTGAGAGTCTTTGGGGGGGCACAACAGTTGGGAACCAAGTATGTATGAAAGCCGAGGACGACCCATCTTTGCACATCAAAATCGAGCGCTTGTGCAGAAGCCATCTCTGAAACCACTGGTATCTTTGTCTTACTTCTAGCCCACGATATCTCATTGCATCCATTGTGACAGCATTGGTTTCCAATAAACAACCTCAACATAGTATTTGCATGTATTGGCCTTGAAATCTGGAGGCTGTCTTATTCTTCCAAATCAAATGAAATCAAATAAGTGTGCATCACACATCAACGTCCGTCCGGGCAGCATCTGCTGAACCATCGGGGAATTCATGAGCTGCTGCATCACTTCGGGATTTTGCATCATCTGCTGCTGTGTCTGCGCCATCATCTGGGAAAATGGATCGCCTCATCAACGGCAAAACACACCAGCACGGCCGGACGGGGCGGGCTTGGGGTAGACGGGGGCAGTCGATGTATTGACAGGACACAATTGTCCAAATTTCGATTAGTCCTAATTAACAAGGACCTAATTGCCCCACTTGACAGGGACGTAGTATACGTAATTATCCTAATTGTCCTCATTTTCTGTGGCACCTTCATGATCATCCCAAGCATTCTTATCTCCTTTTCCCACCGAGCAGGCCTGAATTCTGTGCCGGTGCCGGCGCCCCCATCATCTGTGACATGGGGTTGGCTGGCGCCAGTGTCTGATCGGTCGGAGCCGCGTCTCTCTGCGGGTTGTTCAAGCAGTGCACCACTACGCCGTCCTACGCCGTAAAGGAGATGTGTCATGGAGGGCAACAGGGTAACGCTTATCTGGTTTTCGCTTGCTCCCAAGACCCCAGAAAAAACAAGGGAGATCGATTTTATATAAATAACAATGTCACACCACCAATCCCCTTATGGCTTTCATGTGCGTATGGTAGGTTGGAGCAACCTTTGCATCAACAAAAGATCGTTGTAAAGTCGTCAGCAAAACTTGGGAGCTGGCTGGTTTTTCTTGAAATAGAATATGTACTCCATGCCTCATAACGTGCATGATGATGTATGATCACACATCCCTGCCAAAAATGATATCCTATAATATCTTCCGAGAGCTTCCCCTGCGGTCATTCCCGAAAATTCCAATTATATCAACCATGTGTGGCTGCTTGGGGGTTCAAACCCGCTTGAAACCAAGTATCAGTGGGGATTTCAGGACCCTAAAATGGAGGTACTGTACCACACAGCCTAATATGTTGGGGGTATACATACCTGGAAAACCATAAAGACAAAATTTACTGTCCATACGGGTTTGGAATGGTTTGGACATGTTTTTTGTCCGTTACGTTTTTCCAAATACGGCCATGTCCGGCTGCAAACCCTCTACTTACAGGTCAATAGTTTTCCTGAAATCTTGGATTTGTCGGACTGGTTTCGACAGTATGAGCGTCTCGTCTAGAGACAGTATTTGGGGCAGTATGTTGACATCTGCTTACTTTCAACATGATGGTGAAAAAATACGAGTATTTTATGGGCACATCCAAATTTGGTGAGAAATATGGCAGTATGTGTGGCCAGATTTGGGTACCCTATCGCGACCCTGTCCGAGCCCTTAGGGGATGTCCGAGCCCGGTGTTGTCAACGGATTTGAACCACCCTTCACCATCAAAAAACAAAATACGCAATTGACAGCACATCCGTTACAGGTAAAACCCATAATGGACCAAAAATGGTCCGTAGGCTTTTCCAGGTACATAAGTATATCCCCTTACATAGCCCTGAAAAATAGACCTTGTACATGGTAGGTAGCTCCAATTTTTGGTTCCTGAAATGGCCATTGAAAGTACCACCATCAGTGACTCTTCGGAACCATGCCCGGTCCTTCGGCTCATAGGAACCGATGGTCTGAGCATCTTGCCAAATCCGACCTGCACATACCTCAACTGGTTGGTGGTTGACCTACCCCTCTGGAAAATGATGGACTTAGTCAGTTGGGATCATTATTCCCAATATATGGAAAAATAAAAATCATGTTCCAAACCACCAACCAGATTTGCTTTTTAGGCGATTCTGACCCAAAAGATTATACAAAAAAATCATTGCAAGTGGGTGTGGAGAAGATAACTAAGATGCGCATATATACTCTAAACATGAGTATCCTTGGTTACCATCGCACACTAGCATATATCTGAAACCAGCAGCTCATTACCATAGCCATCCATAGCCTACGCTCAAACAATAACCCTGAAACAAACTACAGCTGCCACGACCACTTGTCCAATCGTTTAACCAAGGCACCAAACGAATATTCTTCGCAGGAATGTTCACCTGATCATCATCAAGACATATCAAGATTGATTATCTCTTGATAAATTAATATAATAAATTCACTAACCTCAAGGCCATATTGGGACAGCCCAATCCGAACCATCATCCCAGTAGTGTACCCTGATGGCAACAGGTTTCACGGTGAATATGGCTGAATCATATACAACATCTGTCCGCACCGAAAGTGTTGTGAAGTAGGATCCCAAAGTCTGTCATCATTAGTATATCCTTGATAAAAAAAATAAAACTTTAGTATGAGGGGGGGGTACAATGTTTTCACAGAACATCACGGAAGTATCAGGTTTTTGGGAAACTCCCCTATTGATGGAGGTGTGGTATTATTAATCTGGGGTTGACTTTACCCAATGTATGACAACCAGAAGCTCTTTCATGGAATCTATCATCAAGTGACCAGGGGCCAACCCAACTCAACCACACAGGTTTATCTGAAAATTTAAGGGGAAAACCTTCAAATAAACTGCTTCATCATAATTTTCCTACCAAAAAAATGCCATAAATGTGGTCACCGTCTGGTTATTTAACGTAGCGAACTGGTTTTCCCACCATTCTCAAGTTTCATAAATCATGATTTCATAAAGTATCTATAATTTATGGGCCGATGTCTTTTTTAATTATATATATATATACATACTACAATCATGACATAGCTATGTGAAAAATACCCAGCGGACCGGTCTCCCGATTTTTCCAAACGAAGCTCCGCCGCGCCTGCGGTGCGACCTTTTCTTTGAGCTCTTCCACCGTACACGTGGTGTCGATGCTAATCGCTATCTCCGCTTCACCTGACCGGGTGACCGCGAAAAGTCGTGGCGGAAAGGGGCCCCCTATAGGTAAGTTGGCTTATGACTACAGTATATAATGAATATATATATATACCTGGATCGTCCATATGTTGCTCAAAAATATTCAAAAATACTAGTATGGTTCAAAAACAGGCGTTGTCTTAAAATGAGAGAAAGCCTTGGAAAATGATGGAAAATTGCATCCACAAATTTGTGGACTCCCAGATTTTTAGACACACCCAAATGAGATTTTAACCAGCTGCCGTCAGGTTACCACTGGGTGCTTGAACTGGCTTGATCTTCAGGTTCACCGATGTCATCACGCGTCACTTCGGAGCTCCCGAAACCGCACCACGTCTACCTCGTCTTCTCTTCACGCGAAACGAATTGAGCCCGGAAGGCTGTGGATGGCGGTGCTCAGCACAACAGGCGAGAAAAATAATCCCCCCATACCCATATGCTCCATGTATGGTATATTATATACCTACATTTGGGTGATTTTTAGGGCAAATGTTGGTACATATTCCATACATGGAGCATCTGGGATATGGCCCCTATACAAATGAACAATCGGATACTAAACCACAGTTTCTATGGCGGGCATTCAAAACCGGAAGGAAAAGCTTTTAAGCGATATATTATATATATATTATAGAATAGTGAATGATTTATAATGTTTTTCAATTGGGCAGAAATCTTTGAGGCGAACAGAAACCAAAATTTCAAACGTGTGGAGTCCTGGCAATCGTGATGCTATGGGTCCATAGGCTGGAACTCACCCCGCCTTTGGCCAGAGATGCTGTGCCTTGGCGCATGGTCATCATGGACTCAAGTTCTCCATGTCGGCAAGTGAAAGCTCAAAAATAATGTTAGGTCAACACAAGATCATGAAACACAAATACATGGTGCATATATTATAATATTACCCATAGGATCCATGTATGCCATATATGGTAACATTTACCATCAATATACCCCAAATGTTAACATATATACCATACATGGATCCTATGGGTTATATATATATATATACACACGTATATGTATGTATTAGATTAACAGCCACCGTAATTACAATCAAAAAACATGTGATGTGGTAAGCTTGACGAATTACTCTCTATCATACTGTACATAATCAAATTAAAGAATTTATATGATTTTTTATGATTTATATGATTTTATGGTGATTGTGTGTGTTCTTTACGTTTCTCACACTACTGAACTCAACGAAACAAACATGGGAATTCGTAAGCTACCCGTGGCTCCATTCACAGCTCCCTCCGGCAACACCACAAAAAAAAAAGTTCCCAAGTTTTATTCATGGTATAATTTGGGAGTTTCACATATATGGTCAAAAAATATTCATATAACTTATGGTAAATTCATGGTATAATTTTTGGGTATTTCCGCATTTGAAGCCATCTCCCAGACAAAAAAAAAGCCTAGCGCCTGATAGTAGTCCTGCGTCGTCTCATCAACTGTGGAGCCTCGCCTGGCCCGATTTTTGGAAAGGGAGACAGATTTTCCCATGGATTCCCAATGTGCAGTTTTTTGTATATGAATATTGCATAATATATACTATAAATTGGAAAGGTGTTTGAAACATATAACAATATATGATTATATAAATTATATAAGATACTATACTATATCAGGTGTATAACTATATAATACAATATATATATATATATGTAGCCTGTGAAAGCATGGGATGATTGAACCCCCCAATACGTTGGGCTTCATTCGACATCATGACTCATGAAGAACATAACATGAATGATTGAGAATATGTCGGGATACGTCGGGGGCACCATTTCCAACGGGGATGTGTCACCGCTTGAGTTTCCCGCAAAGGGTTTGTTTATCATGGCTTGCCATTGCATAATTAATCCTATTATATCCTATTTATGCAGCAATCTGCGGCCATGATGAGGCAGACAGAATCTTTTGAAATAGCCCATAGGATCCATGTATGGTATATATGCTAACATTTGGGGTATATTGATGGTAAATGTTACCATACATGGCATACATGGATCCTATGGGTAGGAACATCATCCACAAAGTATAGCCAGTATTGAAACTGGAGGAGATTCTACTCCAGGGTGATGACACCAAAAAACTGCATGTGTCAACTGGCAAACAACCCCTGTTTTTTTTGCCGTCGTCCCGAGGAGGGTCGCGCGCGTGCCATTTTTTGCAAACCTGTCTTCTACTTTGGTTGTGGGTGTGGGGGGGGCTAATAACGTTCTTGTGTGCGCGGTCTGTTCATATGTGTTTGTACATATCTGTTTGTTTTTCACTTAATTACTATGTATACGGTAACAGGTAACACATGTTTTGACACCACACATGCATATGGATGCATGCATATGGTACAATATGACATGATGATATAAGATGACATAACATGTGATACAGCATTATATAACATGACATGACATGAGATGGTATAACATCATACAACATGAATTACCAAGATATAAGGTCTTATGTTCGCAGTTGGCGATGGCGCTTTGCAAAGCAACCGTCACAAAAGGCCACAAACTCAAGGTGTGGAGTTTGATGGCGAAACTACGAAACACAGCCTAAACTTGCGACCTGCATACTGGAGTGCATTTCAGTACGGAAACCACTTCCCATGGGGCGTCTGGTGAACAGGAACAAAAAACCTAATCTGAATCAAAGAATTGACTCAAGACATGAGGCTGCGTGCAACATTTTGACAACATACTGAGTATTTAATAAATAATGTTCCGTCCCCCAAAGTAATTAATTGACCTGACCGGTGGTTGGAAAATAGTCCTTTCCTCCAACAATTGGCAATTCTCAGTGTCAAAGGGGGTGGTAAAAGTAAATCAATTTATCCCATTGATATCCCGCTAAATTTCCCTGAAATCTCATTACATATCAAGTGAACATCACATGAAATCCATTGAAATTCCCGTTATGTAAGCCACCATAGAACCCATTCTAGCGACAAAACAGTTCATTAAAATATCAGTCGATATCCGTGTATACCATCTGGTTATTTAACATAGCCATGGAAAATCACCATTTTTAAGAACGGTAAAGCATCTATTTCGATTAGGGCCATCGAAAAAGCATGGAAAACTGTGAATGTCATAACCAGGTTGGGTAACTCCCATGAAATCAGCAGCATCATCAGATCCCATTGAAATCCATGTCTTCAACCTGTGCTTTTCATCTTGCAGCCACGCTGGCATGGCCTCAGGCGTGGCACGCACTCGTGCGCTGATGCTGGTGGAAACCCAGGAGAAACCATGGTGTCTCTTCTCATATATTTTTTTGTGATACCCTCTGGTAAATAAACAGTTGGACCCTGAAAATCACTAATTTTTAATGGAAACTAGTCTTCCAACCCCTATCTGCCAGGGTCTATGTTTATTTACCAGAGGGTACATACATGTGGGACCTCCAAAAATTTCATCAAACCACTTCTGCCAGCAAGGATTTTATGGAATTTTGAGGCACAGATTTCAATAGTGATGAAAGTATATGAGTCAGTCAGCGTTTTGAAAAGGCAAATCACCGAACTACCGGAGGGGAAAGTGAGGTGCAAAAACCATTGGTTTTAGTGATGTGCGAAAGACAAAACAATGAACGGGACATTTATTTATAAAGCTGTTTCAAGACCCCAGTAGCCAGGTTTTTTCAACTGGTGCTGGTGTTTGAACGATGGTCTTCCCACGCATTATTCATATAGGTTTTGATCCATCCAAAATATGTGCAGACAGGACAGTGACATGACCTTGCTATGGGATTTCAAGCCACGCTTGGAATGTGTTGGAATCGTGGATCTCAAAAACCAGGTCGCATTTCCAGCACTTATCAGGACACCCGCTGCGCAAGCCACGTGGTTTGCACAGCACTTATCAGTGTTGGATCAATCTAGTAACCCATAGTAAGCCCCATAGTAAGATCGAAAAGTGGGAAAGCTGGAAATATACAGTACAGTTCATCTATCATTTCATCTATAACATGCTGGAAACACTATTTTTGGCATCTTTTTTTGGGGGTTGCTTTGCAAACCAAACAGTTCAATGATAGCATTTGAAAGTTCAAGGGGTGCGCATCATCACCGTCCCAGGACCCCAGGACACCGGGGGTCCCTATGGCCCCCCGACCCAACGAAAGAGAAAGGCCAAGCGATTGATGGGCACCTGCGCAGCATGGAGGCATCCCAGTGCATCATAGGCCGCACATAACCCATATGACTGGGCTACACGATGTTACACGATGATACACTATGGACTATAGTGATGAAGCACTAACTGGGATGCTCATCGAAGTGGCCTCTATTGCCCGCTAGATTTGTCTAGCAAGTGAGATATGTTGCGCCTTAGATTTTGCGATGTTCATTGTCAACGGATTGGTTTAACGGAAAACCGTATGTTTTTTACCCCAAAAGACAGAGGTTTCCCGCATCCTGCATTTTTTAACCAAACTGTAGGGGTAGACTGTTGCAGCGCCGGACATAGGTATACTCGGTGATTGACCCTCCATTTTGTGGGTCATTTTGTCCAACATATAAGGGTCCTTTGGTCATATAGGCTTGTGTATATATATATAACTCATCCATTCATTTCACAACTTAGGGTCTGTGAAGTTATATCATAGATATGTCTCCCATAGCCACGGTTCAATATTCTGGCTAAATTACAGTATAAAAATTTGCCACCTGAAACAAGGTCACCTTGGAATGGCTGGATTCCATACTGACCATTATTTTTAGTGACATCGTGGTGACATCGCTACAAGTCACCCAAGTTACCCCCTTAAATTCCCATTATGTTCCTATCGTATTCCTACAATACCACCCTCTTTGGTGGTCAAATCCCTATCTTTTATGGTCAATGCCCACATTATAATCCAATTTATTTTATCAAATCCCGACAATATCACAATGTTAACCGCAAACCAGGCGAAAAATTGGTTAAATTTCTTTTTTGAAGGTTAACTGTTGTTCTTGAATGGTTGAAACAAGTTGAAACACTAGTTTTAATGGTTAAACCACTGTTCTTAATGGTTGAACCTCTATTTTCTGGCGGTTAAATGCTTGTGTGTGATGGTTCCATCCCGTTTCTTTTATCATGGTCAATTCCATATTCATTAGTGGTTCAATCACTAGTTTCGATGATTAAGTCACTAGTTTCTGATGGTTAAATCACTATGTTTGATGGCTATAATACCTATAGATTCTATAGAAACATAGTGATTGAAAAAATAGAGTTTGATGGTTAAATCTTATAGTTTTGATGGTTAATCAATTCTGGCATCGAATTCTACAGATGATGGTTAATACCTATAGTTTATTCATAGTGATATTGATCGACTCACTATTTCCACAGATTCTTCATCCAATCCTGGCACTCCAGATTTTTGAGGCACCAAGATCAGGACGATGCCCGGAAGCAGCGCCAAAACGGTCGCCTGGGACCGTTGTTCAACGGACCGGGAATTCCCATGGGTTGTTAGCCACAAAACCGTGGATACTCGTGGGATCCGGCATATGGAAGGCGAAAATCGACCAAAATTGATATCCTCTGTTAAACATACAAAAAGCGAACCGGAAAATCACCATCTTTAATAGGTAAATCAACTATAAATGTGCCATGCTCAATAGCTATGTTAAATTACCAGAGGGTAATTCTGGGTAAATTACAATAATTCACTAGCCTGAAATGTTGGGCTACCGTATCTTGGGGATGTTTCCCCGAATCCTAACCATGATAGTGAGGGAGAACAGTGAGGTCGTTATAATTTACCCAGATAATTGTCCAGATGAGATCAGATGAGGTCAACGGAATGGCAATGTGCAAGGGACCCGATTCTAGCAGTATTTATATAATAACATGACAATGGATTTAGGGGTGCCCAATTCTCAGATAGATCCGTGTTGTATGATGCACCTAGAACCAAATTATCATTAGGTTGGATTTCTTTTGAGAATTTGACACATGACATCCAAAATAGGGAGCATGAGGGTTCCAGGCATGTGATGTACGGAGAAAAATCACATCATATTCTTGGAAAAAAACAACATTTAAAAAAACGCGCTCATCCAGTCTGACATCTTGGGACATCAAGTTGCCATTTTGGAGAGCAACATGAGAAATTATCTGGTTGGTGGTTTCAAATGTTTCAACCCCTCTGAAAAATATTAGTCAGTCAGTTGGTATGATTATTCCCAATATGTGGAAAAATAAAACATGTTCCAAACCACCAACCAGTGATTATTAACCATTATTAACCATCATTATCCCATATTAAACCAATGTTCCAAACCACCAACCAGTTATGAGATTGTTTTTTCTGGAACAAAACCCAGAGATTTCCACCAAAAAGCCAGGTTCTGCTACCATAAGGCCCCAGGCAATACTAAGCGCTCCGGTGTTCTTGAAGCAGGGTCGCAAGAAATAGACCTCAGAAAAAGGGGTTGTGCTGGCGATGCAACAATTTACATGTCTGTTTTCCTGGCAGGTAAGTTGCATGTATTTTATTTTTTGGGGGTAGAAACAAAGATGTAGCATTTGGCAACTGTTCACCTACCCTCTGAATACACCAAAAAACCATCCTAATCCCACATTCAACCCGACAACGGCCGTCCACTTCTGAATGGGGTGTTTCAGGTCAGTTCTGTTCCAGCTGAACTTTGGAAGCTCTCCACACTTGAGGCGCTTGCCATCATAATTGGCAAGAGCCACGGCAAGACAAATCGCCTTGGTTTAGACAGAAAACATTTATGGACAAAATCCCCAGGGATGGTCCTTATCAACGTCCTTCAATTACACACATTGCTAATCTTGACGTCTTAGATATTTCATGTTTTTTCATGTTTTTTCTCCGTTGATATCCCCCAAAAAAATCAGAATATTTGAAATGGCTTTGGAAAATGGATGAAGAGGTTTCTCCATGATGAGATCTACCGTCATGAAGAAAATCCGTGTTTTTCCGGCCAGGGCACATTCGCATCAAGCCTTCCAAGGCTGCTTCGGCGTTTTGAACCTTTGGAGCCCGGCGACCATTGGATGGGGCCCGGTCCAAGGTTCAAGGGGTCCCCCGGGATCCAGGGTTCTGGCCACGGAGGGTCTCCGGCAGTATCTGAGCAGCATCCACTTGTCGTTCACGTACCTTGGGCCACCCAGTGGGCGCCAGTCGACTTACATTTTGCGTCAACGTCCCAGATCAGGTGGTTGTGTTTACATATGTACATAAATAAATAAATATATATATATATACCCTGGACCTGAACGATAGCTCTTTATAGATAGCACTTTCAGAATACATGCTGTGGGTTAAAAAAAGGCTCTATTGCACCAAAACCCGTATTTTGATAAAAACCTGTCTTTTGAACATGTCCTCAGTATAGCTTATCTTGAAAGGATCAATAGATGAGGTATCAACCATCTGAATGACGCATATATGGATTATGTGGATTATATGGGTTCATACTATGCTATCCAATATCAATCCCATCCTATCCAATCACCACTCCCAGAGCTGCTTCTCAAGCAGTGGTGGCCATTTTGGCCACTTTGGGGCGCCAAAAGTCGCTATCTGGCATTTTGCCAAGGCCAGGACCTGCGGGCCAGGGTGTCTGAAAACCATGAAAGGGGGTGGCCATCATCATGCTGATGATGATCATCATCACCAAAGCCATCATCACCACCATAGATTTGAATATGGTGATGATGGTGCTGGGCATGATGATGAGAATCATGAAAAACAATGATCAAACATGGGTGATGGTAAAAATGACCATGGAAATTTTGATGATGAAGATGATGACAATGAAAGCGAATATGATGATGACAATGACAATCAGGTTGTTGATATGACAAGATTCCATGATGAACATGATGTTGATGAACATGAGAATTCCGACATACACAACGTTAATGATACAGTCTTTGATGTTGATGATCTTGTTGTTGATTTTGGTGACATTGGATGAACATCATTATGACCAAATTATCTCATAATAATGAAAACCACCACCACCACCACCATCATCATCATCATCATCATTGTGATATCTAGGATCCAGATCCAACCCAATAGGCTGCGTGGGGAAGCACATCACTTAAATCTACTTGGACTATTCAATATTTGAATTGGCTGTCGGCTGTCAACTATCAGAATTAAAATCAAAACATGGAGATTCACGGATACAAAATCCGATCATGTGATATCCTTTACTTGTTGCCCAGATTATCCAATGATTGGATTTTGTATCCAATATCCCGATCCAGCAGGGGCATGATGAAACCCACCTGGCCTCTGGTCTCTTCAGCCATCTTCAGCCCAAGCGACTTGCCTGTGCCGAGTTTTTGGGGTGCTGCATTTGCTACCATGACGGCTGCTGATTTAAGTGGCCTTGCTAAGGCTTGGGAGTCAGATCCGGAGGTGAGGGAGTTTATGCGGGTGAACCAGTGTCTTTTTCGACCAGCAATTCGGTGTGCCAAACCAGAATGCAATGTTCGCTGTGGTGAACAGAACTTCCAAGCCTTGAAGCCCATTGCCCAGCGTTTGCGTCTGCCCAATGGCCATGTTGGTCAGGTCATGGTACCACATTTGACCAGGGAGAGCTTTATCTTAAATGGCATATTCTATATATTCTATTTTCTGTTTTCTTTATCAACTTTCCACTATGGGGGTTGTTGTCATCAATTCAAGCTTTGATGTTTAGGCACAATTTTTGATGTTTGTATTTTATCATTTGTTTATCCATTTTTATCAGCCTTCAACATCATCCAGCGATAAGGATCAAGAAGCTGTTTCACATAATGAAGCTTCCAGTACCTAATAGGACCGAGATCAAGAAAGAAGCCAAATTGGCTAAAGGATTCATGGTCATGGTTAAGGCCAAGCTGAACAAGGATGTGCTTTGTCGCAGTGTACCCTTCCGAAGGTTGATGAGTCTTGTGTTCCACGATGAAGAAGAGACACAGGTTTGGTTTCAAAACAAACGGTTGGGACTGTTGGGAAAAGAAAAACGCCCGCTAGCAACGTTTCATGTTTTTATCGACTTGTTCTTTCACATTCCTGGTTCCAAGTGTTCGGATTCATGTTCCTTGGGTTTTCACTGCTATAACCCGGAGGTTACTCCCGACGGTGGATTTTCATGCCCAGAAGAACCTTCAGCTGACGAACCTGGTGAACCTTTCTATGATGTTGACTTAGATGATGTGGGGTCTGATGAAGACTGTGATGATGGTGGTGATTCTGAGCCTGAACATCACCCTGTTGATGAGTCCCAGTCCAGATCGCCCATGCAAGGCCTTTTCTCAGAAGAACCTTCCACCATGGATTCCTGTGAGATGATACCCAGTTCCCAGCCCTTTTTCCCAGAGGACGCAGTTGACCAGCCTTTGGTCCCAGAGTTTGCCGATTCCCCGCCAGGGTCTCCTTTGGTAGCCTTTGACCCATCACCATCCAAGGGTATTGAACCTGATGATTGTGATAAGATGATTGTGATTGAGGACACACCTGACAAAGGTAGCTCTGGTTCCATGGAAGATATCAACCTCCAAATCCAGAACATCCAACAAGCTTTGCTTCATGCCAAAAAAATGCAAATGGCTAAGAGCTTCGTTGTGGATGGTATCAAAAGTTGTGCATTATTTTGTTTGGGGCCCATAAGTTTCCAATAGTTCCCACTAATTTCCGCTGTGTTTGATGATTAACTCTTTCAACCTGCCTAGCTTCCTTTCCCAACCTTTCACTGCCCAGGAAAGCGAAGAATGCTTTGGAGGAAGAAACCAAGGACAAACCGCTTGTTGTGATGGACAGCCTGCCCTATGGGGGTGACAACAGTGAAACCTTACCTGTTTCCGAAGAAGAGATGAACCTAGTGGCCCGAAGCTTTGATGCTGAAGAGCCCTGCATCCCATCCCCTCCACCGGTAGTGCCTCAGATGTGTATGGTCTGGTGATGGTCTGGTTATGTGGCACCAAGTGTTCCAACAGATTCCAACAATTGAATTTGTTTATGGGTACAGTGGCTCTCTCCTCAAAGAACCCATCTAGAACCTTTAGAATTTAGAAGATCTAATTTAAACTCTTGAAACCTTGATGGGTTATATATGTTTGTGCTTGCCAGCTTCCACCTCTCCTTCCAAGGTTCTTCGCCGCAGTCAGTTTGCTCTGAAAGAGAAGATTGAGGATGATGAAGGTGGTGATGGGAGCACAGGAGAGGCAAAGGCTGAGGCAAAGGCAAAAGGGAAACCATGTGGTAAGGCTAAGGCGAAGGCTAAGGGAAGGCCGAAAGGGAAAGCAAAGGTGCAAGCCAAGAAAGGTAACAAGCCAAAGGATAATCCCATCCAGGAGGAGGAAGAGGAAGTAGAAAAGGAAAACGATGCAATTGCAGAGCCAAGTGACAACACCACCCCTGGGGTTCCCAAGGATTCCGAGGAAAAGCCTGTTCCAAAGGATGATGATGTAGCAAAGGAAGATTGCCCCAAGGATGGTGACGATGTTGAGGATAGCAAGCCTACAGACCCGAACCAAAAGCAAGATGCAGCTTTGACACCCCGAGAGCCAGCTCCTGCTGAAACAACAGCAAAGCCAAAGGCAAACGCAACGAAGAAACGCAAAGCAAAGGAGGTGGGGGAGGCACAGCAAGATCACTCAGCAGGCAATGAGCCCACCAAGCCAGTTCAAAAAAGGAGGACAGCCAAAGGAGATGAGGGAAAGGATGGCAAGCCAGCTCCAGCCGGTCCAGCCAAGGGTGAAATTGGGAAGGAAGCCAAAAAAAGAGCTGCAGGTCAGGTGAAGGCAGAGGGCAAGGAAGAGGCAAACAAGGTTAAGAAGAAAAGGGTGCGAAGTGATGAGCCTGCCACCTTTGCGAGGAGGGTTGTTCCCACTACCCCGTTTGGAAAGGACAAGTGGTACTCCCTTCGAAGTGCCTTCCATGACCTGATCCGTCCCACCGTGAAGCACTATTCGACGCATGAGGACCCTTGGTTATTGAGTTTCATGTATCCAATGCTTGTTTTGAAAAAATGCATAAGTGGAAGTATTTCAACTAATGTTGGGGAAGCTGTCCAAAAGTTTCCTTGTGTTTCATTACCTACCTTTATCCCAAGGTATGTTTGTTCTTATTTTGTTGCATATGTTGGTTTTCGGCCTCACCGAATTGCTGGCTATGTTTCCTTAGCTGTGACACAAGCTTCAGGTATCCATGCTTATATAAGATCATTGATGCACATGCAGCCCTGAATATTTATGATATGTCATAGTGCATCCCGATACCACTGCATGAGGTTGAGCCAACTCTAAAATAAAAAATGCTACTACGGATGTTGGCACTCCACTTCCCGTTGGCCCTGTCAGGACAAGTTTTGGAAGTTCGCCACCAATGCTTGGAAAAGTAAAGAGGTGACTGGGGAGAACATCAATGAGCTTGCTAAGGAAGCAGCCAACCAGTATCTGGCAAGTTTGCCCTAGGGGCTGACTTAGGTTGAATGGCAGCCTCTTTGAACCGATCATCATATGAATGCCACGTCATACATTAGACCATTAGACATTGTTTTCCTTTTCTTTTCAGTGTTTCAAGTGATCAACGGCTGACATCTCAAAGCTTGGGCAGGGGCATCTTAAAAGATGATGCCCCCAATCTTTCAAACAAGGGGTAGATTGATATCTGGACCCTGGCACTTAGATTTGGTTGCTCTTGCAACAGTTTGCAGGTCGCACATGTGACAAGCTAAAAGGAGAAATGCACTAGTTTTCAGCAATCATACTGCCATTATGTTTTCTGACACTTTTTTCCTCCTGATATGTTGCAATGATAGGGTTACATGCGTAGGTACCAAGTCCATGTCAAGCAAAAACCTGCTGGAACACATTCACAACTGTTGCTGATAGCATGTCCGAAGGTGTGCTGGGGAAAAAAAGCTTCCTCTGGCCGGCCCATTGGTGAACTGAATCAGCCATTCCCACATCAACTGGCTGTGCCATGGGGGGGTCCATTCAAACCATGTTACTGGGCAATTTTGAATTCCACTCTCAAGGTTCTTCACAGTTGAAAGCGTTCATGACTATCAAAAACCCTAAAGGCAAGTTCTTGAGAGGGCCCAGGGATAGCCTCTTTTAGGTTAGTGACCAGTTGCTCAAGTGATAAATAATGATGAATAATATATAAGAACTCTTCATCCCAGTGATGCTATCATACTGTGATGATACATCGATCTTCCACCAAAAATGAAATGATTGGTTGGGTATGCTTCCATAGATTTTGATCAGATGCACTGGGCTACATGAGATTCCAATTCCAAAGGTCATGCACAACCTTTCCATGGTCTACCGTCTCCGCTCGCCAGGCCCCATGGATGATGCGGCCATGCCTCAATTGGAGGAGATCGGTTAGCCTTGCATTGTTTTTGGGGCACGCCAGTGGGCATGCTGCGGGTGGATGTCAACCCACTCCATGATTGAAACCAATGTTCAGCTTTCAATGAAGCATTTTGAAGTTCAAGCCGAAACTAGGTGAAGGGAAGGTGTCGAGCCATGAATCCAACCAGACGTGACAAAATGGACTTGATTCTGCACCGGCTGCATCATTTGGGTGCCCCCAAGGCAAGGCCATAGGTTAAAAATCATGATAGCACAGGCATGCATGCTTATGCGCAAACATTAACATGTTTTCACCTAACATATCCGGTTCATGTTTGTTTGATCGTGCCTGAAGTGGGATCAGCCAGCTTGCCCTGAAGGTTCTGATGGCCTGCACAGTTCTCTTGTGCTTGAACCCTGCCATTGGTTTATTTGAAGAGGCTAGGCCCCAAGGTCAAAAAAAACAAAGTGATGTCATACATCTTACTGTTAAAAACATGTTGTAAATCTTAGTCTCAACAGGTCCTACTGTCATACCTGTTTGTTCCACAAATACTTTTTGGAAAGAAATGGAAAATAAATCCTTGACACCATTTCCTGGCTGCCCCGATGGCCCCCTGAGAAATACGACTTCATCGAACTCTTTGCTGGAGAGGCTTGGGTGACCAGGTGTGTGAAACACCATGGGTATAGTGCTGCTGCCCTCGACATCATGTATGGTGAACTGCTTCCCGAAAAACAAAATGCAATGGATTTGTTGTCGGACGCAGGATTCTCGTTACTTGGTCAAACAATGTTGTTACCACCCATCATCTTCATGTTTGGGGAATATTTTTCTCCGATCCATTTGCACACCCTAGATTTGCATTCTTGGGATTGGGTTGTCAAACTTAAAACAGAATGGATACAACAGTATCAGTGTGAATGACCTTTGTTCCGAAACAACCTTGGGATTGAGGCTGGCGTTAGTCACCATCTTCAATGGCAAGATGGGAGCGTTTCTATGCCTGATAGGATTGATGTGCAGCAGCTATGTAAGCATATCATCTGGAACCCATCGACGTGCACCATTTGATCCTCTAGGCCGTTCTGAAATACCCATGGTGGCTATTGGCAATGCATTGGCATCAAGGACCCTTATCTCATACAATTTGATTGTTAGATAACAAATTGACAAGCATTGGTTTGCTTTATGCACAGCCTATGTTCTGTAGGCACTTTCAATCAAACCCTTTGAATTGGGTATCAACATGAAGTGGACTTGTATCAACGTGGGGCATCACCTCAACAAAAACCTTGGACGGGATAAAACGTTTCAAAATGTTTCAAACATTTTCATTATGGACTATAATGGGTACACCCAGTCCCGGGGACTATGCAAGAGTGATAGAGTGGTAGCTGTATGTCTTGTGATATGTGGTGAAATTGGCCCGAATTTGATAGTTTTGCCACCCAGAAATGCCATGGGATCTCAAATGTGCAGTGCTATTTGGACCAAGTAGATACCACATGCTATAGATTTCAATAGCGGCATTTCACTGTATTGTTCATGGTTCATATCATTCACTCTCAAAGCTGGACACCTCAAACTCACATCTACCAATCTAAGTCGCCCCCAGCCCAGGACTTGTTTATTGATATGGGCAATCAGTGCCATGAATGGCGCCTGGGTTTTAGAGCAGCCGCGGAGCTCAATGCTTCCTTGGCATCCGAGGGTCATGGAGCTGTGGTCAAAGCTACACAAGGTCAATATATGGATCAAAGGGGTGAGTGGGAACCCACATGTATACTATGTATATATACAAGATAAAAGAAGATGTTTTCCACCAGCAATTAATATTTGCAAAAAAATGTTACATATAGTGCGTAAAACAATTGTACAGCAAAGTGCATACCAAATCATTTTGGATTGTATGCAATAGCATGAAGCAACTTTGACCCCAAGGATTGAGGAATTGGGTGAACAAACTGCATGGACATAGAATACAAGTCAACAATAACATGATGATTTTAAGGCTCTTAAAATTGCCATGCCTCTCCAGATAATTAAATACAATTGGCACCCCGAAACCATTTCATATGAAACTGTTTGCCCCTTCAGGTGTTTCAAGCCTTTTGGTGGATGGGGCACTATGGATCTTTGACGATGAAGCGCCACATCTGTTGGTCGAATTGCCCCAGCATCCGTTGCTTCGATCGGGGGGTCATGGCTAGAGCTTTCCAGAAGAAACATTTTGGAAATGCTCCAAAATCTGCTCGGTTGTATCGTGACAAACAGGGTAAGAAGGCTTACCATGGCACCAAATTTTTGAAGGGCACCCAGATTCTTGGATCAAAATTCAAACATGTTTGAATAGTGTTTTCATGATCATGAACGAGTGGCATGACTGTCAACTGGAAACCATCATCCTGATTTGTGCAAGACTCACCATCCCAAATTTAAAAGATTTATGTTGTTGAAACCAATGACCTTGACACAGAACTTCAAGATAAGACTTGGTCTGAGGCTTGTTATGACTATGGTACCTATAAGAATCCCGTGCAGTGGTTTTCTCACATGAAGTGGTATTGGGTTGTTTCAGGTATATATACATGTGATCGAATAATGGATTTATGATAGGGGAGTTGATCATGGGTTTTGCTGGTTTGATGTCTTTATGTTCAGCCCGTTAGGTGGTTTGCTCCTGGTTCTGGTTAATGGCATGCCATATCTTGATTTTATACTTGGTTACTAGCGATCCAGTGAAAACAATCTTGTGCTAATATATTTACTGGATGTTCTGTGATTCTTTTGATGGTTGATGTTGGCATCCCAATACTTGCTGTATATTTTGGTTAAATAAAGAAATGAATATCTTGCCAGCCCCCTTCCATTTAAGGACGTATCCACCGAAGTTTGGGATGAAGATTGTCAAGTTACTGCATCGCTTCCTCACCAAGAAGGATGCCCTCCCACCATCAGCTGCTGCAGAGCCTGTGCGAAGTGGCTTTGAGCTTTTCTCTCAGCTTGAGTGGGGGGATTGGTGGGATTGTGGGAACATGAAAGGAGTGTTCACATATCTCCGTGGAAGCCATGACTTAGAGCTTGGGGAGTGGAGGCAATTGTTTCCAACCCATATCTAAGTCTAGCCAACTTGGCACTTTAATTTGTTTTGACAATTCGATGTTGCATATGGACATGGGAATACCCAGGTCAAATTTAAGAAGCCTAGATCTCCTGCCCGCTTTGGAAAATGCTAGGGCCGGATTCTTCATGGTGATCTTTTGAGTACTGTTGAACATGAATGTAGGGTTTTGTTCTTTGTTGGAAACCTCACGGGGCAGAAACCATGGTATGATCTTTGAAAAGAATGATGGATGTCCACCATGTTTTCAACAATTCAATGTCATTCAACGCATTGCCGCTGGTACTGGGCCATCCTTTCCAAATCAAAAGCAGTTGCCAAGGGAATGGTTCTGGGGAATCTTTTTCATTGTGATGCTAAATCAAATCCTTTTGAAACTAATGCGGTTAATCACTATGGAGCAAAATCGCAAATCAATCCAGCCATGTTTCTGTTGATTTTATCACAGTATGGGAATTGGGGACCCAGCAAACAAGACCATGTCAAGACCTGGGAAAGTAAGGTGTATATCGCGTCTATAGGTCCTAATATGGCAACTTGTGAAAGTTATCATCGGAGATTTGTGATTGGAGGTCATCATAAAGGGTTTTTGGTAATGCATGATGGGTATCAAACAAAATTGCCAGAATTTCAGGAAACATACATGGCATACAAGAAATTATGGTTGATTTTGAACGATTTCATACGATTATAGATGGGATTTGACTTTTGGGTGGAATACGTACTTAATACGGACAAAGTATGTACAAAATACGTACCCACAAATGGACCCGTACAAAGCCCGTATTTTGGCCGTATAAACCCGTAGAAATGCGTACTGAAATACGTACTTTTTCCGTACTGCCCGATATTGGGGAAATTAACCATTTTTGCTGGTTTTTGACCAGCTTTGGCCAAAACCATGATTTTGGGAGAAAAAAATGCATTTTTGGTGGAATTTCCCAATTTTACATTGAAAATCGTGATTTTTTGCCATTTTGGGCTGACAATGTAGATGTTAATGGTTGAATTCCCAATGTGGAGGTGTAGATAATTGTTTTTATGGGTGAAACATGGCAAAGCAAGAAGAATGTTAGCTGTAAACAAGGTGAAAACCATACATTTTGGAGGGTTTTCACAGCATCAACATGAAAATCAAGTAGTTTTGACTTCCCATACATAAGTTTGGTGGGCATGAATGTGGCTCCACACATTTTTTAAAGGTGTCATCTTCCACCCATTCGCCGCGATTCTAGGGATCTCGGCTCGTCAGCACCTTGTTTTGGGCCTGGCAGCAGCTGGGTTCAGTGGGTCATGGCCCCAAAAGGGCGGCCAGCACCATCAAAGCAATGGTCTTGTAGTGAACTTAAGGATGGCCATAGCAAGTTGACGTCTATCAAACAAGAACCGGAGGAAGATCTGGACATGAAGATCAAGGAGAGATCCATAATAGCGTGCACCAGTTTACACAAATAAACATCATGAACTTCAAACAGATTCCTCATTAGGTTCTTCAAAAAAGATCGATGTGATGTTCAATCTGGTTCAATGGTGTTGTTAAGCCCATCCATGTATCTTAGCCCACCACCCCCAACCGGTGAGGAGTATGAGAGGCAGCTTGCTCGAATGAAAACAGTCGCTGCAAAAATTGTTTCTTGGCATCTTGGACCCCCTTTCACCAGACATGACCAGACCATGCCTGTTTGAACCACTGTGATTTCTTGTGTTGAAGTCCACTGTTGGTATGTTCCAGTGTTTTGCAGTTTGAAACCAGTTCCCAAACGGAAAACTGTCCATCACATGCTCCACCCATTTGGTTGACTTAGCCAAAAGTTCAAATGGAATAGACCTGAATAGACCTTTGCCAGCTAGGGATTCACATACTCTAGGGCAATTTCTAGCTATACTTCAATTATACTCATGAGTAAACCTTCCCATACTCTTCGCATCAATCGCTCTGCATCCCTAAGGCTCAAGGGGACGCTGCAGCTGGTCAAGCTTCTCCTACTGATGAGACTCAGCCAGTAACTTGGCCATATTTATACCCAGTGCACACGTCATACCAAAACCAATGAAAGTGACCAACATTGTTTGACCAATTCAGTAAATAGTCGGAACGATGGATTGACATTTTTTCATCAAAGTCCACTGAAGGCCACTGAAGAGGAAATTCAGGAGAACAAGAAGGGAAACAAGTCCAAACGAGGTACTGAAAAGATAGCAGCAGCTGCCAAAACAAAGCCGGCTCCACCTCCTCAGCAGAAACCAGATGCACCAGCTTCACCTGGTGAACCGTCTCCCAACCCAGCTCCAACAAAGCGAGTGAAGGGTAAACAAGCACCCCCCGAAGTGGACCAACAGCAGCTCATCCAGGAGTTGCAGGAGGTCAGGATCATGCCTTGATTCATTATAATGTAAACTGTTCAGTCGATGTCATACTGAAATATCATATATATTGATATGAAAATCATATACGTGTTTACCTTCAACTTTGTATTTTCAATCCTGGTGCCCTTGGGGTCTTTCAGCCTTTGGGAGGCCAACAAAGCGATGATGAAAGAGATGCAGAAGCTTCGTAGTGAAAAAAGTCAGTCTAGTAGCTCCACGTCCACTCCTGCCCCAAAGATCCCTGCCCCTTCTCCTGCTGGCACACCAGTGCCCAGAAAAAAGGAGAAAGAGAAGAAGGAAAAGGGTGATCCCAAGGATGTCCAACCACCAGCCGACCGCCCCGCGCCTCAAACTGAGGGGGCGAAGCTGAACCGCCTCAGGCGATTGTGCGAGTTGAAGCCGTCAGGTCGTTGCCATGTCCCAAAGGCCATTCATGAAAAATGGGCCAAATCAACGAGAGCTGAAAAAGAGGCAATGATCGATGAGCTGGAAAAAGTCAACTGGAGCAAGGACTGGTTATGAACGAACACCTCACTCATGTCAATCTCAAACTTTCACATCACATGTGTCAGAATGCAAAGATGCATATCATATGACTTGCATTGTGATTTTTTTTAAACTTGTTTGCTTCTTATTTAGAAGGACCTCTTCGTGAGTCGCATCACGAAAACGATCACCCAGAAGAAAACGTTGCAGCGGAAACAGAAACGAGGATGGTTCACAAAGGAACAGATGCAAACCACTTTGGGATGGAGCACGTCGATTTCTCGGTTGTTTTCAGTTTTGATGTCAAAATTTGAGATGTAACAAAATGGTTCGAGTGTCTCCCAACCCTACTCGCCTTGATGTATATGTCCTCCTGAGCTCTTTGATCCTGCGTGCAACCAGTCAGCTATCAGGTCGTACATCAAGTGCGCTGTGGAGGTTTGCGAAAAGCCTGGCAATGAAAGGCTTTGGAAGATCCTTTCTGCATTAAATAACTTGGCCCATGGCTGTGACAGTTTCCAGTGGTTTTAGACTGCATCCCATTCCAATCTCATCATACCTTCATACCTGATGTTCCTATGAAGTTTGGCATGTTGCATGCACATATCTTATTGATTGGTTTCAAAACTGTTCAAGCATTGTTTCAGTCCATTCTTCTAGAACATCCTAGGAAGGATCGCTACAACCGCAAACTCCGCAAATACTATGTTGTCTATGGTGAGGAGGACGATGATATTTCTGAAAATGAGGAACAGCACCAACATCAAGAGTCTGGGGAGGTTTCCTGGCCTGATGCATCGCTGGTCTCCATCCCAATGTCCAAAGTCTTGTTGGTTCTCAGCATCTCCACCTGAGGCGACTGAAGAGGTCACCTTCAAGGTCCTGGGTCAGGAATGTGGGGACAGTGAGTCCGAAGAAGATGATGAAAAGGAGAAAGAAGCTGAACAGATCAATGTTGCAGAGAAGGATTGGGGGATAGTGCAGGGTCTGGTTTGCATATATAACATCTCAACATGCCATTCCAATCCATATCATATCGAACCGTTGCATATTATACCATTCAGGGAAACACCAGTAACTGCCATACAAACCGACAATGATATCAGACTAAGCAAGTGTAAAATGACAAGATCCTTTCATGACCATACTTCATCAATTGACTGCAACATCAAATCAGCCCATCATATGACAAACCATCCTTGTATGATATTTCAAAACATACGTATGTCAACCAGATGTACATCATCATGCCATATCACTAAGTACCATGCCCTCTGGTGTCCGAGCACTTCACTTGGTTTTGGAATGGATTGATAATAATAAAGGACACCCTTTCATTTGATATGGTCCAAACAATAGCTCCCCTGCTCCAGGACTACCTGAAGTTTGCGAGCTTCACATCATCCCTGCTTACCCGGTCGTCTAAGCTTTCAGATTTGGTTAGCCAACTGGAATCGGAACTTGGTGACAAGGACAAGGAGACTGTTGAAGCTAAGCGTGTTGGCAAGCCCCATACCCAGACATTCACAAGCTAATATTATATATATGCCAAAAAAAAACATTTCAACATTTGGTTTGATGTGCAATGATCGCCCAAAACCACTTCACCCACCCCCTGCTTGCTCAGGTCGGTGCAAGCTTTGGAGGACAGCATCGAAATTCTGAACACGCAGTTCTCCACCTGTGAGCTCATCAAGTTGGATGCAGCTGTGCTTCGAGAGGGTGGCATTCCTGATTCTGAGAGGAAGTTGTTACTTGCCTCTGATTCTTAGTCTTAATCTAGTTCAGAAAGAAAGGACCACTCACCTACCAGATCACCATTCATTTTGATGTAATTCCTTGATGTTTTCTCAGTATTCAAAGTAATGGATTTCATTCTCTGAAAACATGTTCCTTAGCGGGTGGAATACCTACCACCATGAACCAAACCATCCATTCCCCTTTGAGGCTGCAGAAGAAGATGACAGATCAGATCCGCGACACCACCAAAGCGTGCCTTGGCTCAACTTTTGCAGCCGATGCCCGATGCCTAAGGGCCAACATGTTGGCACACCGCTTCAGGTGCTCAAAGGTGGTCACTTCCGAAGTTGGAGCGAAGACTTTTGGATGAATTAGTTCGATTTGGGCATCGCAGTTACTGATTCAGATTCATGGGACAATATTAAAAAAGGTCCATGACATTCATCTCAATATCATAGGTTGACATGCATCATCCCATTGAAAGTTGCAATGTTTCAAGCGTTGTTTTGGGAACCCCATTGAATATCACTATTCCTTGGCACCGCATTGCGTCGCCAAGGAATGTCTTGAAGATGCTCAAGAACAAGTCTGAGGGCTGATATCGGTTGAGTCTTGGCAAAGGCATCAACCAAATGAGCATAGTCAACAATCGACAGTGCTACTTTTTGGGACCAAGGGTTGCCATGTGCAGAACACGTGGCTTAGTGATTTAGAATGGGATGGCCTGCAGTTGCTGGCTAGTTGAGGTGAAAACTTTAGACCCTGATGTACTTTTCAGGATTTTAGATTTTTCAAGATAGTCAGTTGTCATATCCACATATGACATATCATACCCTAGCTAGATGGCAAACTGCATAGATGGCATGGCCAGCCACTTTTGGAACACATGCCTGAAAGGACCTGCATGTGAAAATCCCGGGAAAGCAAACAAACGACATGAAGCAGAAGTGTAAGAAAAAAAATGCCGAACCCTTGCATACTTTTTGGGGATGGTTGCATGCCTCACCCATCATCCCCCTTGATGGTCCATCATGATCCACCACTACACCCACTATCACCCCGACATCATTGCTTTCTGCTATTGCCCTGCATGCCAGGTCCCAACGACGTGGACAAAGTGCTGGCTGGATACGCAAAGCTCATAGCTGATGGAGCCAGGGCCTTGTCTCTGGGATCCTCCTGCAAGCTGGGTGGACTGGTGGGTGTGGCTCTTGGACCCATGTTTCAACCGCAACAGTTTTGGCCCGGGATGTTTCTGAATGAGTTGCATATCCACATCCAATGGTAGCCGGGGAATTGTACAACCCACTTGGATTTCAGTTTCAATGAGAAGCTAGTAACCAATCGGAATGGATTCATTTTCTTCGATCTTATTTTCCATGTGTTAGCATCATCCCTCATATAATGGAAGATTATGGTGACACATGGTACTGGTACTTTGTCATGAAGAATATTCCAATATAAGATATGATGATAAGACAGCGGAATCATATGATAGTTCTTCGATAACAGTGCCATTATTATAAAGTAATGGCTCGTTGTTTAAAGATCACTCCAAAACATGCCCTGCTACCATATATAAGTATTTATGTTGTTTTATGCCTTTATGATGGTATCATATCATATGACAAAACATCAAGTTAAACATGTGATCATGTTAATGGAAGAAATCATGATAATTTTCATGGGAGCATATCTGAATCTTCATAACATATCATGATAACTCATGGCATTAAAGACAATTCAAACATGTTCCATGGATCGGAGTGAGCCATGGATGAAAGTGCCGATGATCTCATTGATCTCCTGACCTATGTATGTCCCTTCAGTGGGAAGAAGCGGGTGGCTGGCTTGGATAATGGGGAGCTGTCCATGAAGTGCCTTGGCAGCAAACAAAACCTATATTTCTCGATGCTACATGTTTAGATTCTATTTCTATGTGCCTTTAGTCAGCACTCATCGTATTTGACAATCTTATTTGATAAACTTAGGAAGCTGAAAATTGAACCTGCAGATCAAGAAGAAGTTCTGATTTACCAAGACTATTTTGATAGACTCGGTCCTTCCCAGCAGCCACCATCCCCGGCCATCACAGCTGCCACTCAGCAACGCTTCATGATGTTCGATTCAGTGACATGTAAATCATGTTATGTTTGATGAGATAATTGAACCAAGAGATCTTGTGGTTTGTTGTTTTCAACATGCACTGGAAACATCTGGAAACCTTTGGCCTTCTAAGGAGACCACCTGCACACTGAAGAAACTTGCTGACAGCTTTGATGCTGAAACCTTTGACTGGAGTCTCACCCGGTCACATGGCCTATTCAATCGTTGTCCTAAGGAGCCAGGTTCATGCCAGCAAACATGCGGGCGAATCTTATCTCGCTGCAAGGATCGGGTCACCAGTTTCCGTGAAGATATCGGCATTAGACTTTGCGTGTTTAAACTTGGAGTGACATCAAATCCGATCCAACGGTACATCGACTACCAAAAACTAGGATTCACTTGCATGTGGATCATCGCAGTTTCACACAGCATAGATCTAATTCACATGCTTGAAGCTGCGCTTGTCAGCGAATATTGCAAGCATGTGGGGTGCCGGAACAAAGAGGGGTCAGGTGGTGAGGGTGCCTTGAACAAAAAGGACAAAGCACCCCCACCCTATTTTATGTATGTCACTGGGGGACGCGCAGATCAGAACAGGAGGGTTGGGTGAAAACACGTGCGCACAATGTTTTTGAGCTTTTTGTTTGAGACATTGCATGCTAGTTTTTCTTACAAGTTTGGAACGCTTAGGAAACAAATGCGATCTGAAAAATCTTGAGAAGATCAGTCCAAAACATGCCCTGAGTTGGGATTTCCTTTCTGCCCAATTTTTGACCCCTTTTGGGTTTACCATGTGCCCGCACTGCATCCGCTGAGGCCTCTTGCAAGCACATCGTTCAGATTGCAAGGGATGAGGTGGAAGCGAATCCAAGGGCTACTGATGCTATGAGGGAGTTTTCCAACATACGAGAATCTGATGCTGAAGTGGGTGCTCGGAGGGTCTTGTGCAAATATGGTTTGACAACTCCAGTTCCTCTATCATACGTTGATTTGGGGGATTCCAAGGAATTGAAAAGATTCCCATGGGTGAAGCTATCCAGTTGGTTGCAGTACTTACTGAGTGTTGGCCTCTTGTGGCGGCAGCTGGTTGGCGTGCCATCAGTTTCAACTATGCGGATGGTACTTCAAGAATTTTGGAACAGATATCGTGTGATGGATAGTCAACATGCAGTCTTCCAATTGGAACAGGAAGGTAGAGTTGTTCTGGACAGCCTGATCCCCTACTTTTCCCATAGTGACGAGGGAAGGACATTCAGGGATGCTCCACTTTGGGTCTTAAACGTGCACGGGGTGATTGGTCGGGGTACTGCTGAGTATCTTCGATCAAACAAACATCGGCTACCAGTTCATGAAAATGCTCAAGGCCTAAATTTCATTGGAAACACGTGGTCGACTCACCTGTTGATAGCTACTATGCAGAAATGTGTTGCAACACCGGATGCATTATCCAAGTTGCTCTCTGAGTTTGCAGCTGATGCACAGTCGCTCTTACATGATGGGATCACACATGGTGCTCAACGATTTTGGTTTGTACACCTATCTTCCAAAGGAGACCTACCTGCATTGGCTAAACTGGGGAAATTTACACGTACATTTGGGCATGCTCCGAGAGCAGCCAGGGCAAAGAAACCTGGAAGGGGAGTCTGCTACAAATGTTTAGCAGGACAAGAACGAGATGATAAGAACCATCGGGCTGCCTTACCTTTTGAGGATGTTTCCCAAACGCCTGTGTGGGCACCAACAATCTTCCTGGAGCTGCCATGGGAGGAAAAACCATCAATCCTAGAAGGTTTGGGGCTGGATGACGCCAGGGCGATTGATTTCTTCAAATCAGATTTTTTCCACAATGTTCACCTTGGCATTATGAAGAGCTTTTCATCTTCAGCGATTGTCAGTTTGATTGAAGCGGACCCACCATTACCTTGCCTTGAAGGACTTGGATCGGTTGAGAAAAAATTTGAACGGTTGTCTGACATGTACAAACATTTTTTTGCCCAAAAGAATAGAAAACCATGGATTTCGGAGTTGTCTCGAGACTTGGTTTGCTGGCCAATGGCATCGGTGTGCCCGGCTGCCAAGTGGAACAAAGGAATGGCATCAACTGAAATCATGTTGTTCATTGGATGGTTTGCTGAAAACTTTCTCTTACAGTCTTTGGACCCTATGATGAAGTCGATTGCCCCTAGATTACATTAGTTTTGTTTAATCATTTTCATGTTTGGCACACATTGCATTTTATTGTGTTTGGTGCTCCCCAAAAAGAAAGGTTTTTGGTTTTCATAAGATGACCCTTCCAAACAGCCCAGGTTGCTGCAACGAAGGCGATCAACATTACGCTGACCTTCCTCTATCGGAACGGACTTTGGATTCGAGACACTGATGCCCGAAAGTTATCGGATTGGATCTTTAGCTTTTTGGGACACTATTCAGTGCTGGCTGATCTATCGGTCAGGAGGGGTAAATCGCGGTTCCCTATGTACCCGAAAAATCACATGGTGTGCCATGATGCCCTAGAGATACGAAAAAAGGCTGAAACCTGTGAATGGCAATTGTCTCCTTTGGCTACATCTTGCCAGCAGCAAGAGGACTTCATTGGAAAACCATCCAAGTTATCCAGGTCTACAAATATCCGACAGGCACACAGATCTGTAATTTGGCGGAGCATGATCAAAATAAGATTTTGTTTGCTAGACTCTGGCAAAGACCAGCGTGGCATGGATGCATACATGGGATGAAAAGGGTTCAAGTTTGATGTGAAAAACCTTATGTCAATCCTAAAAGTTCTATTGTTCTGACCTCCATTTTGATTCAATTTGATTTCAGGATCTCAGACCCCAAAAGATTGAGAAAATGCTTTGGCTGGATCCATGCAGAACCGGCTTAGATCATCTTACAGCTCAGGTGCGAGGGAAAAGTGGAAGGGTTGTGAGAGTTGGGGTGTGCGCACATGGGCATTATGTATGTTCATTTTTTTGGTGAAAATCAAAAGATTGCGTTTTGAATAAAAACCCGTATTTTGAACATCGCTTGCTGGGCAATGATCGAAACAGCATCTTATGGTCAAAAGCGCTCCCTCACGGGTTGAGGGTATATAATATTTATATATATATAATTATATATACATACAATATATACAGTATATAACTAACCGGGCGTTTGCGAAAATAGGGGCACCAAAAATATCCACAGTCCAAGCCCTGTCCCGGCTCCAGGCCCTGGCTGAAAAAGGAGGCTCAGGAAACCCACCAATGGCGCCAGAGGCATCAAAGCCATGTAGATCAACTGAGAGCAAACAGCGATGGCGATGGCTACGCTGTGCTGGGTGGGCGTTTCGCGGGAATATGAAGGAAACGCAGGCAATGACAGTTTTGAGCAGCAGCTTTTCACTCAAATCCATGCATATAATATATATATAGCAGTATATATATATATATATATGTATCTGGGTAAATTATAATATTTCACTAACCTGAATAGTGCGGCCATTTGGGGATCATTTCCCCTACTATGATTATAGGGCTCGGTCGTGATGAAATTTACCCAGATGTATGTTTTTTTTTAAGGATTCTTCAAGACCAACTAACTGGAGTTAAGTTGACTTACCATCTGGTTATGACTAACAGTTCGCCATGGAAAATCCCAACCATAAATGGAGGTTTCGTTCGCTGGGAAAATCATCTATTTCGATTAGGGCCATCTATACCATGGCTATGTTAGTCTAATCAGATGGTAACAATGTAATCAACACCCATTCGTTAAGCGTTAAGCTTTGTTGTATGGGGCACCACCAGCTGTAGATCTGAGGGCCCAGACGCAGCAGTAGTACCTCCATGTAGAAACGCGGTGTTGTGGAGATGGAGAAATCCCCGATTTCCAATGAGGGTTTCGTAAAATGGGGGATCCATTTTAAGTCATCATCGGTTCTATATGTTCTATACTAAAATGGTCATCCATGACGACTGGATGATTTGGGTACTCCCATGACTTAGGAAACCTCCATTCGGGCAGATAAAGCTATACAAATGACACGGTTGTGGATCATCACAGGATAGATATTCGCCCGGTAATTGTGCGTGTTGGTTCAATTTTTTCCGGAAAAAAACATGAATACAGTAATTATCATTAATTATCCCATATGAAACAATCATAAATAAACCATATTTTCCGTAGCTTTTTCCCCAGCTTCCCCCTCGAATTCCCATCATCTTCGCACGTCTTCTCCGCGTTGGCGTAGTGACGTGGAAGGTCCATGATGGTGGGCTCGAAGCAAACCTGAGAGAAACTCTCAACCGTTTAACGGACCGGACATGAAGGGCTTTGAACATGGGAAAAATGGAGATACCACGGGATATGATGGGCTATTGGAGGTTTCCATAGCTAAAAGGGGGGTACCCTCAACTGGTTGGTTTATAATGAAAAACCATCAATGGATGATTTGGGGTACCCCTATTTTAGGAAACCCCCATATGAGAGGAGAGTTGAGGGATACAAAATGGGAATTTCTGGGACATGGGAAATCATCGAAGCGATCATTTGTCAAATGCCAGTCCAGGTCCCACAAGAAGCACCCAAACTATCCAGGTTCCTGCTAAGGGATGACACAGACCATACCAAAACACGAATCAATATCACCAAACTTTTAGTGATAACAATTCACTAGCTACTAACTAAATAGTACTCAATCAAGAATATGTATACTATGAATGAGCCATCTATCCAACCATATACATCAAAAATACAATGCACCACCGCAACTTCCAGTTGCGATTTCCCCATCCCAAATTCAAAACATCCTTGTGCCCCTGGGGCCAGCCACTTCCCATGATCGGACCTGTGCCAGAAACTTCGCGAACACATCAAATGGAACATTCACGATGGGTTGGTTTGAGTGAACATAAACAGGAACACATGTTGATCATGTTGTGTTGAGATCCTTTAACATGTTTCAACATGTGTTAACCTTCAATTAAAGTGTTTCTTGGAAATGTCCTCTTGAACAGGGAAATGGAACGGTATAGAAACAAAAACCGATTCAATTTCGACACGAAATCATCCACAAGAAATGGGCAGACTACACTGACTACACGTCTCAAATCAATGGGAATTCCAGGATCCGATTCATTGGAGGTACGTAAACGTACCATATGTTGGGCCATATTTTGTGGGGATATTCCCTGAAATTTAGGCCAAAAATATATGGAATCGGTACCTCCAATGAATCGGATCCTGCTATTGATCAAATCTCCACGTCTCAGTGGATTGGTCAGGGAGATCTTTCCGTTGAACCCCATCAGTTTTTACAACCCATGCTGAAAAACCATCAATGAATGCACAGGATTTCAGTATATTTTAATGCGTTTCACTATAGACTATATCATTTTCCCTGGTTTTACCAGTTTTTCTCTTACCATATACACTCTGGTTATTTGTCATAGCCATGAAAAATGGCAAAATTATATGTGTTTTGATGATTTACCTATTAAAAATAATGATTCTCCATAGCTACGTTAAATAACCAGAGGGTAAATCACCTGAAATTACCATTAAATCATCATTAAATTACCACTAAACCACCATTTCATGGTATTTTCCTATGGTTTTCCTGTGGTTTTCCTATGATTCATGGTTTTTACCTCTAACCAAACAACCAGGCCAGACCCTTCACCCGCCTTTTCTTCCACGTAGCGGAACATGTCCCGGTCGGCAGCTTCCTGGCGCTTCCGTAAGAGATCTGACAAACCACCTCAGGTCTCTGAGAAAATATGGAAACACAAATGAATATGATGCATATTACCATACATTGCCATATATATTCATATATATTATTATATATATATATACATATATTGTCATATATTATCGAATATATTGTATATTATCAATTATCATATATGTCACCTATGTTTATATGATTTTTTATGATTTATAATTACATGTATAGTGTATAAATATATGTATATAAATCCGGGCAATGTACAACAATTTAAGTTATATATAATATAATAACATATATATATATACAGTATACATTCGTTTAACCATGGGGGCCAGCCACTTCGTGGATCATGGTCCACGAAAATCTACATACTTTTTTTAGACCCAAAGTTCTGAAACTACATAATCATGAGATCATGAGTAAAGCATGACCCCAAAATTGTGGTACAGCACTTTTGGGTACCAAAATGGTGCAGTCTCCATTCGAAGAACGAACTCGCCACGATCTCGCCTCCTTGTCCCGGTATTTATCCAGCTCAACATTCAGCTCCTAGGGAAGAGCTGACCCCCCAAATGACAAGGGCTTCTTAAGGGCTGATTTACCATCAGTAACATTCAATGTCAATAACTACGTTTAGAAAGGCTAATCTATGCTAATCTTGACCATCGATTGTTGGGTGGTAACTGTTTTTTTGGGGGTGGGGCGGGTTGAATCTCCATTCATTGTCCCGAAATGCAAGTTCCCGAAATGACATGACACTTCTACTGTCTGGTCCCCTTCCTCAAGAAACAAATGAGTTCTCCAGTGACAAGAAACGGTTTCGGAAGGTTCACGTCCTGTGTCTGAAAATTGCGTATACTTGATAGTTATGCCACCAATTTAGCAGAAAACATGCTAGTTACCATCAATTCTTGAATCACACGATCTTCAAACACAGCCGTTGGATAAATGTAAGACAGATCACCAACCTGAAATAATATGAAATAATGCCATTGAGTGAGACTGCCAGAGGCCATTTTAGTAGCATAGATGTTACTATGTTCATTTACGTTCTATATAATGTTTTCTTTTTGAGGGAATTCCTAGACCTAAGATGACCTAACCATCTCTAACTCTTCCGCCTTCACGTCTTCGTCCTTCAGCTTCTCGTCCGTGAGCCTTCTTCGCCAGAACCAGTTCAGGGCCAGCTCGTAGTCCTGTCGACGTTTAGGTTGCGCAGCCATGGATGCCCAGGTGGAAGGATGTTGGAAAAATGATGTAATACTTGATGCAAGTATTGATAAGATTTGGAGATTGATTGGTTAAAAATGGGTTAAAACCTATTATTACCATATTTGGGAATAACCATCCAAATTCACCAGCTATTTTAGGGTACCTAGGGCACCAGGGCTTTGACCCATACCCATTTTGGTTTAGAATATTATTGATACTAATAGATATGATATGATACGACTATCTGGTTGGTGGTTTCAATCCCTCTGAAAAATATGAGTTCGTCAATGGGAAGGATGAATCCCATATATGAAATGGAAAATAAAAGTCATGTTTGAAACCACCAACCAGCTATTCTCATGACTCTTCTCCTTTGTATCTTGTTTTTTTGGTGTAGGACCTGTCACAAAAAGGGCATTCTCCCAAATCCCATCCCCAGTTGGTCCATCAAAAACATCAAGGGAGGAAAGATGAAGTTGATAGCCTCAGTCACGCAAGCGAGACTCCGAAAAAGTAAAGGATGGGGCGGATGGGGATGGGAACCCAGCTGGTTGATGTTGTTGGACTAATCCAAGCTAAATCTAAGCCCAATCATCCAATCTAGTCTATCTACTCCATTCTTTCTAGTGTAATTCGATCCAATTCACATAGAACAATAGTTAATCTACAGTATCATCTTTCTATCTAACTTACATTCTCCCCGGCTCTCCTCCTGCAAATGGTGGGGCCGAAAGCCATATGTTGGGAGATGCTGGGAGTGGCAAATTGCTCATCTGCAGGTTTTAATGCAACTTGCCTGAGCAGAGGAACATTG